ATTCTCAGCATGGCTTCTTCTCCAGCCATGTTCTGAATGGACTGCCAACGAGTCTTGGAACGCTTCCCTGAGAATGCCACAGCAGGTCGTTGGGCTCTGCTCCCAACCATTCTGAGAATGGGTTCCAGAACCCGTTGGCAGTCCATTTCCTTAACGGTTCACAGCCCAACGCCCCCATTATTTGCTGGGCAGTTCTGCTGTTCATTCTGTATTTATTGTGTCACTTTAGATTGATCATCAGAAATATAATTCTCTATTCAGGTGACTATAGAAAATTATAGTGAAACAGAGCTAAAATTTAGTGCAAGCAGGCCTCTTTCAAGAGCTACTGTAATTGCTAAAGGCAAGAATGTTTATAGGTCTTAGGTATTATATATTACTGAAAAAAGCATGAATGAATGTAATTTGGAAGTTATACGAATACATAGTGAGACCCCAAAATGTGGTCACCTCAACATATGGAAAATTTGACTTGGGGATGTGCACTTGAAAATTCAAAAAATTGGGTGTAACATCCTGACAATATCTCAACACACAGGCAGTATTTCAGCATTTCTATAGAAAATTGCAAAATTTAAAGTTTTCAAAATGTGGATATCTCTTGAAAAAATCAAGCTATTTATATCCCCAGAAGTTTAAATGAATATCCTTATATAATTACTTGAATTCATGATCAAAAACTGGTCAATTTTGTGCTTATTTTTTTCAGCATTCTGTATCATCAGTGCACGAGACTAGAACTTTTTGTTTGTATTTCTGAGTCCTTTTCATGCCAGAAAGGATCATTATTCTGCATGGGATTCTTTATTCTGCAGTTATATTCTGTATCTTAAAGTTGAGAAGCACATTTTATTTTATTCTTAGGGATTCATTCCTAATTTCCCATGAACTGAAGAAACAATTAAATGAGTTCCCATTGAAGTCTACCGGAAAACAGGTTCAACCTTCAGACATTCCAACATATAGGGACACTGTTCATGCAACAATTATGTACACATCTTGGGGTCACACTGCATATTTCTTTCTTTATCCTCATATTTCTGGAAAATCAGCTATTGTTTATGTTAGTGTCGCAGTTCAAACATGCTGTTCAATGATTTTGTTGTTGTTTCCACTTCGGTCCAAGCAATGGATATAAAATATTCGTGATTTCAGCAGACGTTGAACATTCCCAACACCAGCTACAACTGTCCGAAAAATTTTCTTGTGATTCTGAGGTATCAGTTGGACTTCCCTTTTTGGGCCATTTTTGGAGCATAAAAAATTAATCCTTCATGAAACATACGAGGCACATTCCATGAAATCATCAATTGCTTGTGAAATTCATGCGCCAATATAAAAGGAAGTACAATATATATAAGCGGGATCTGGCATGACAATAATGTTTATAAACCAAGTGCATTTTCTTGAAATGGTACAGTCTTTAGAAAATACACTTGAAAAAATTTCAGGCCGACTTTTGAAATATGAGTAGTTGAGATTTTTTATTTTGCAGAAGAACCACGAATCACACTTTCGTCAGATGCAGAATGCGTCCCGTGAGATTCAGCTTCAGAATCATCCCCTGTTTCGTTAGACGCATCCATCTTCAAACACTGCAGATTCGTCTGAATAAAAGGAAACAAACTAATTTATTGTCGAAACGTACTTGAACAACATTTCAGCGTTTTGAACTTGAATTTGATTTCGAAGCTTTTGGAATGATTCCTAGCAAGAATGAACCTTTGGGGATTTTTAGAAAAGTTTCAAATGATTGCCTCCAACAAAATTCACTCCTACATTGAACAGAACTTACTCGGAAGAGGAACAGCGTTCGCCTGCAAGGAAATTTCTTTGAGCAGGAAACCGAACATGCAAATTACAAAAACCGTGACACCAGCAGCCGTGCATCATGGATAACATTTATCGTTTGCCCTGCAACAAAAAAAAAGTGCGTTAAATCCAAGTTGAAAAAAAAAAATCTTCCAGCGCCTGTTGAAAAAATGAGCTCGAATGCTGACCGGGAAATATTACTACCTAATCTGTTTTGATCCGAGTCGGTGAGCGAATGAAGTCTGCCGTTTTCAAATTCAGAACTTTTGCATGTCACAGGGATCGATGCAGAACGAGTCACTATAATTTGAATTTTTCGTTTGGCAATAAGCAATTGTCAGTGGGAAATCAGCTCGCAAAAATCTATGCATGCCCACCTAATTCGAACAATACACGGAAGTTCACATGCATCGCTCTAATGCTAGGCAATGAATTAACATTCTCCAGAATGTTTCCAGTGAAACAAGGAATTCTGGAAATAATTGTGACGCAGAAAAAAAAGAGTGCATGAAAGAAAAATTTTAACAATTTTCGAATTTTTCTCTACAGCGAAAGACTTGACATTCGATGAGTTTGGAACACAGCCCAATAATACCCGGAAATAGATTTTCTGTTTAAACAAAAATCAACAGATTTGTCATGTTCCAGCACGGGATCCGATTCTGCAGTCGGGCGGATGGAAGATTGATTGACATTGTCACAAAAAATAACTTCATATCATGAAAAAATTGATTATTCAACGCTGAAAAACAAACTGAGATCGTTTCATAAAATCGTCGATTCCTCCGTGTTAATTGAGCGTGCCGGTCATAAATTGAGCTAATTTTCCTCCACTCTACTCGTTGAATCAATTTTTTTTGCTGTTTCGCGTGAAATGCGATAGAATGCGGAAATATACGGAATGCGGAAATATGACTTTATTTGTCTGTGATCCAAAATCACGGAATATCACCTTTTCTGTAGAGCAAAATTCGAAAAATGTTGAAATTATTTTTTCGTTTATTCTTAATTTTTTTTCTGTAACACAAAAACAGGCATATTTCAAAATGACCTTGCTTCACTGGAAACATTCCGGGGAATGTTCTTTCATTAATATCGATTAGAGCGACGTGAACTTCCGCGTGTAGTTCGAATGAGGTGCTAATGAATCGATTTTTGCAAAATGATTTCCCACTCAGCGTTGCTTATTGCCAAACGAAGAATTCAAATTAATGACTCGCTCTGCATCGATCCCTGTGACACGCAAAGCTCTGTATTTAAAAACAGCAGACTTCATTCTCTCGTCGAGTCGGATCAAAACATTTTGGATAGTAATATTTCCCTGTTACTATTTGATCTCATTATTTAAAACGGCGCTGGAAGATATTTTCTAATTTCATTTTCAAACTTGGATGTAAAAGACATTTTTTAATGCACGTTTTTTGTTTCTGTTGCAGGGCAAACGGTAAACTTGATTCAAGATGCACTTCGCTGGTGTCACGGTTTTTGCAATTTGCATGTTCGGTTTCCTGCTTCAAGAAATGTCCTTGCAGGCGAATGCTGTTCGTTTTCCACTACGTAAGTTCTGTTTAACGTTTGAGTCCATTTTTTTTGGAAACAATCATTTGAAAATTTTCCGAAAAATCTCAAAAGGTTCATTTATGAACGAATGATTCATTCATTCATTCCAAAAGCGTCAAAGTCAAATTAAAGTTCAAAACGCTGAAATGTTGGTCAATATTTCAAGGGCAATAAATTACTGTATAGAGTCGGTTTCTTTTTTTATTTAGGCGAATCAGAGTATGACGATTTTTTGGACTATTTGTCGGATTATTCTCGAGATGACTCGTCAGAATCCGCTGAACATTTTGGCGATCATCATCCTCAGCGTTGGCCTGGTCGTAATGTGGATCATCATCCTGAGGATTGGCCTGGTCATAATGTGGATCATCATCCTGAGGATTGGCCTGGTCATAATGTGGATCATCATCCTGAGGATTGGCCTGGTCATGATGTGCATGCTGCCGGCGAAGGTTTCCATGCACATCATGAATCCGATTCGCGCGACACAAGCAGCTACGAAAGGGCCTGAACTGTTATCCTGAAGAAAAAAAAAAAAACAAGGGCTGATTTCCACGACGACGAAATATATTTACCCACGAATTTTCTGCATTATACTCACTCGTTATTTTTTGCTTTCAAATTGTAACGAATACCCATCAGAGTCATAATCATTTTTGCCTTCAATGATTACATTAGTCTTTTTGATAAAGGTCTTCTTGAACTATTCGTATACTCCGTTTCACTATATAAAGTACTGCTGGCTTTTTATTCTCTAGCTGAAAAGAGAATATACTCATTCTGATGATCAATCTCATGTGACACATTGACCCTCAGGTTTGCGTATCAAATGAACACTTGCTATGAATAAAACTGTTTTCATATCTCTACATCAACCGAGACTATAGTTGACGATTTTATTGTTCAAACTGAAGGAAGTATTAATGATAATTAAAGTTGGACCATAACTTTAAGCTAACTACTATAAATGAAAAAACCTCACTATTTTAATTATTATTAGTCCCAGTCTGAGTTATTCTTTCAAGAACGAAATTTAATAATAAACCTCGTCTCACTCGAAGAATTTCCCATTAAAACTTCCGTAACTAGAATTTCTGTATATTAGAGGCCTTTGGGGCATTTTTTGGTTACTACTGAAAATGGAATACAAAAGAAATGTGACTCGACAGTCAACACCATTCGTCAAGAAGAAGTGAGTGGCTATAATTAACCCCTACCTTCAAGTTCAGCACCTCCAACAACTCATTTATTCTGCCGTTCAAAGCCGAAAGTATCACACATTTTAAGTTTCCTGCAATTATTTATATTTATTTACGATAAAAATATACTTTAGCTGTTTCCATGAATTTCAACCTCTATATGTCAAAGTGTGTTGACGGTTCCTTAAATTTCAACTTGTGAAAAAAGCCCAACTGCAAAAAAAAAATTGCCTAAGTTTTCCCAATATGGTAGGAATTTTTGCTGAAGAAGTGCCCAGCAAGTCGTTTGATCTTTAGGAAAGCCCTCGCACATGATGAGGTTCGTCTCAAACCGGAACGTAATCTCAAGATACCCATCGTCCACCCGGAAGCTGGCAAGAAAAATTAAATCCACAAATCCTTGCCTGTCTCACGCTTTGTGACCCACATTTTCCTTCATCCGGTCAACAACCTTCTGGATCTTCCCCCCTTGTTATCCAAGCGGTCACTGCATAAAAACCCGAGCAGTGTTATCATTCCAATTCCCCTCCCTTATAGAAAGATCAGCAGAATAAATTGCGTGAAATAATAATAATAATATTAAAGCAACAGCTCCCACACACGCCTTGTTTTGCTGCTCCTGATTTCCACGCATGATAAAAGTGTGGACATGAAGAAGAAGTATATATACTGCGTTTAATATACACCGTAATAAATATACAGTACAGTATGCATTTATATAAACATGCATGGGGAGACATGTTTATGACGTTTTTTTTCTTTTTTTTTAAGGGAGAAAAAGAGAACTTTCGAGAGGAATTTCGCGAAGTGGTCCACGGTTTGTTGGTTTTCTTCCGTGGGTACGTTTTCGTTCTCACGGGATTTTTTCTGGATGAGACTGGTCAGTTACTTGCTTACGTGCGCCGGTGCGTGATGAACTCGACGCGCGGGAGCAACTTGGTTTTTTTTTCTCTCTTTCAAATTTTAAAATATTTGCCAACTTAATTTTCGTCGTTGAAATAAAATTACTGAGTAGAATCTCGTCACAACGAAGCCATTATTATGACCAGTGAAATAGCTTTCGCTGTAAAGAAAAATTCGTTAAAAGTTGACTGGTCATTGAACATTGTGCTGGTTATTGGGGAGACCTAAAAAAGATTTCCATTTACAGTGAGACCCGGAGATGCAGATGTAAAATTGGTGCATCAAGAGTGTCTTTACTTCAAAAAGTCCCTAAGTCAAGTCTCATTTTCCCTCAGATTTACATTATATAATTTTTAATTGGTGTTTTATGTACAAAATACTCACCATAATTCTGTAATTTGGCCTGAAATGTATTTGCAATTTTATCACAAAATGTCCTCATGTTGAGTCAGTGTCTTGGGCCTTTTTTATTAATTTTTTATGGGAAAATAAGTCTCCCTATGCTGAATTGTCGGCAGGTCAAGGTGTCTGCATGTGGGTGTCTCACTGTAACCAATTCTTCATAATAACGAGATTTGTTCATCAAAACAAAAGCCTTCTGTAATTAATGGAAAAACTGTACACATTTCCTCGCATTCCAACAAAAATATTTCCATGATGCACGATGATATGATTTTAAAAAACGAGAAAAAGAATTATTATATAGCTGAGTCTTAGACTTTAAAGTGACTTTATATCCTCTCTTTGACGCTATTAGAATATTACAGTACATTACTCACGTGAAAATGTGACCATCATCAGGGGGTTTTCGTGGCATTGAACAAGCGTCTATAATAATTGTAAAATGTTGAATTGATTAAATGTGTGTATCTGAAAAATTAGTTATGAGCCAGACGAGCTGTGTATCAAAATTTCTAAGCTGGGAGGTGGAGAAGTATACTTGAACGTGTATACAGTAATTCAATTCGCGTTCTTGTTTGACGGTGTCCGGAAGGAATTCTTGGAGTTGCGTGCTGAGCCAATTTTCCTGAAATAATGTAAACATTTGAAATACGAACCGGAAATATTTATTTTCCTCTCGTGAATCTGTCTCATCGTGAGAACATTTCATTTTAAAAATTGCCCGTGCGTGATTCGCGCTTGGTTTTGATGTTGCCAGTGAGGATAAATACAAGAGTTTTCGAATAATTGACAAAAAAAATTATGTCACATCTTTGAATTAAATTGTATTGTTTATATTCAGTTCAATTGTATTTTTATATTCAATTCAATTGTATTGTTTATATTCAATTAAATTGTATTGTTTATATTCAATTAAATTGTATTGTTTATATTCAATTCAATTGTATTGTTTATATTCAATTTAATTGTATTGCTTATATTATTCAATTAAATTGTATTGCTTATATTATTCAATTAAATTGTATTGCTTATATTATTCAATTAAATTGTATTGTTTATATTCGTACATATTTTTCAAACCGTTAGCTGAAAAATCGGAATGTTTACGCCTTTGCAAAATCACTGAAGGAAAAAGTTGAAATGTGATCACCATAATTTTGCGTCGCAGCAGTTCTTGAAATGAATTATGTTTCTTCAAACAGATTGTATTTGTGATAACATAATCCGATCCGAAAATGAGAAAATTCCCACACATTATTAGCCTATCCAGAGTGAAAACGTTTTTTGAAAATTACACAAGCTTCATATTGATTCTTATTTTCGTCATTTACCCAACTCAAGGACGTCTGACTTCTCGAAGTAGTCGCCAAATACGGACGGAAGGTAAGCGACCTTCAGGAAAATGAAGGCCATCGTTTTGGGACTCAATTTTGTTTTTATTTGGCATTCTTTTGCAGGATCGGCAGGGAATAAAATTGGCTGGCTGCTGACTGATTCCCACGAAACCGATTGCTGGAAAGAAGCAGCAAAATTAGCATTGGAAGGCTCGAAGATCGAGATGGTTTTTGCTCGAGATTCAGCAGCCAATGAAATCGAGAAACTTTCGTGGGAGTTGGATTTATCGCGGAAGTTCAAAATTCTGCAAAAATCCGGAATCAAGATCTTCGTTGGATTGGAAGACCACGATTCCGCAAAAATACTGCTTCAGTAAGTTCTTTCGGTACTTTTAACAATTAACGTGATCATGTAGTCGAAAAATAATTCTATGCTGTGCGTCATTGAAAAAGTCGATAGCAGAAGACTTTTAATTATTCATGTCCATCCTGAATGTGAAAATGATTGTAAACGTTTATGATAATTGTCGTAATCCATCAAACATATTCAGATTTTCTTTGAGTGCATGATTGTGTCAACAAGTGCTGGTGCCTCATCATCAGCCCACATACGTTTCGTCTTTTTGCAATCGAAAGGATCTTATTTATCCCATGTATGTATTTTACCAAAAAATTATGATGAATGCCTCTTCGTTGTAAACTAGTAGAAAGACCGATAATAAGGTCCATTCATATAAATCTGCACGGAAAGGGAAAATCTGTTTCATATACAGTAATCAAACGATTTTATATGTTCTCGATTGTGTTGAACGTTTCATTTCGAGTTGACCCTTGACTGGTTCCTTTTTTAAATTCAAAGAAGAGAAATAATTTTGTGGACTTTGGACTAATTGAATGCCACTGCATACAGTATACACTGTGATATGCCTCATCGTGATAAGTCTTTTTTTTTGAAATATAATATTCCAGAAAAATGAAAGAACTATTCCACATTATAGCGTTTTCCTTTCTTTTTTTCTTGCTTTCCTTATATTGTAGCGGTTTGCAAATAATGGTTGGTTTCCAACTTTCTGATATGAATGCTTTAAAATATAATGGCTACTGATTTCTATCATAAAAGCTGGCCTCTATTGAATGCTAGAGGCAAAAGGACCTTTTTAAAAATAAACTTGGGGTCACCATTTGGAACTTTTTAATTGTTGAAATATGGTCATTTGTCTGGGAGTTCAGTGTCTCAAGAGTACAAGACAAAACAAAGACTCTTATAGAGCAAAAAGTGATTGCAGCGCATAAATATGTTCAGCAAAAATTTAATATCCGAAGTGTCTGTTGACGTGTTACAATTACAGTCTATTTTTATTTATATATATTTTTCTCCGCAGTCAGCAGAATGTGAAATTCGTTTCACCATTTGCAACGTCGCCATTCGTCCGCGGACACCCGTCGGTTCTGGGATTGTCACCGTCGAGTTTCCAGATTTCCGGCACCATTTTATCAAAAACACGACACCTTTCTTACTCTGAACTGCTTCCTGTCGTTAGTCGCGGGCGGAAAGACGTCATCGACGACCTGAAGAACATCAGCGCCATTTTTGGATTTCGGCTCTTGGAGCCAATCATTATCGACGATTTTGAAAAGGTACTTCAATTAATCTCCCTAAAAAGAGGAACAAAGTAAGGAGCAACTACTATTCCTCACCAGCTTAAAAGTAGTACTGTATACAGGGTGGGCCAAAAAAGTGAACCGAGTTTTAACTTACAATAGCTCAGTAGAAAATCAAGATTTAACAATGAAAAAAAGCACCGAATAAAAGATTGTTCGATTCCCTATTGAATGGTATCTAGTTTTATTGTCGCAAGTGTCACAACGTGGTCACAAGAACCTCTTGAATGACAATTTTAAAGGAAAAAAACAGCTGTCAGGCAACTTCTTTTACTAAATAAGCTGCTGTTCTCCAGAGCTGTTTTCAGGGATATAAATGGAACCAGTCATTTAAATAACAAACTTATGCTTCATTCAAAATAAGAGGCTATACACACATAAATACCCAAATTGCTGGTTTTTGCCACCGTTCAAGAAATATTTTGTCTCTCAAAAATTGATCATCATACTCTGATTCAGCTTTTCTCACAAATCGACTTTTTTTTTCTTCAAGGAAACTCGCATTCGGGCATTTTTCGAACCCATTCTTTTCTCATATGCCGCCTTTCTCTTAACATTTTTTTCGACACAATTTTCTTTGAAAATTCGAACGTTTGATGGAGGATTCCATCTTTTTGCGATTTTTTCCATGTATATAGTTGCGGGATGAGCTGGTGATGAGACTGTGGGACAACCCAAACGCAGACATTTACTTCGACTCCAAACCGCATTTTGCGCCATTTCTCGAGTCCCTGGACTCGGAACTCGGGGACCCGATTGCCAGTCGCACCCTTTACTCACCCAATGCTCTGTTCTTCAACTACGACGCGGAGCTCGTCACTCGACAGGTGAACAACGTGACGGACGTGCGATTGCTGAAGCGACGCTATGAAACGCTGACGAGAATGCGGACGCATTCTTACGCATTCCTCGGAGGAGAGGATTACGCGTCGAGCGTCAGGAGGAAATTGATGTCGAGTCTGAATTCCGGTGACATCGACGGCAAGTGTTCCGTGACGGCGTGCTTGGTCTTCGACGCGGTTTTGGCTGCTCGGAAGCTACTAGAGAATCCTGAAATCGACGGGGAATTCCAGCAACAGCAGAAAAGTGATGACTCATCAACTGAGTGAGTATTTCCGTTAAGAATCCCTGCATTTTATGAAATGAAAGACGCAGAAAAAAACGAGAATTCGAAAAAATAAATCAGAGCGCGCATCACTTTTTCAGCAAGCATCACATAATTTGTTACGACCAAGAAATTTAAATATTTCCTGCATACAAGTTTCAGAAATGAAATCACAAGACGGCCGGCTTTAGTATTTGAAATTCATGAAAATGCAAAGATTTTCTATTCAACCAAAATTAATGTACTAAATTTCCTCTCGAAGTCAAATTTTCAATTTTTTCTCGTTCAGTAGAAAATTCGTGACGGCTCGCATCAAGATAGATTCCTTATTCAAAACATGAAATCAGTTACAAAACATATTGAAGTGCCAATAAAAATATTCTATTCTCCTCAAAAAATATTATTTTTATAAATTCTCTGGAAAAAATGCAGATCAAAATGAAGAAACGCCATCACTTCTGAAAATGGCATTTGAAAGCACAATACTGCACTCGTCATTAAAAAATTTCACTAAGCAAAAATATGAACGGAAATTGTTGCTTCCAGAAATTAAATGTTCCTATCGGTTTTTTTAAAGTAAATACACCACTCAGGAAATTTATTATTATTACCAAAATATTGGCATGTTACCGCAACAGTGTATACCAAAGAAAAAACAAATGCGCGTTTTAGTGGCCAATAATGTTGGCCAATTAACGATGCTTTCTTATTTACTGTTTTAGCATCAAGAGGGTCACGTAATTAAACATTTTGGCGGTTTCTCTGGGCAATTGAATTTCAGGATATATTTTAACTGTGTTTGAGTGATGCAAATGAGTTTGTGCTAATCTCATCAGAATGGCATTTTTCAACCCAGTCCGAAAAATTTTAAACGTTTCTCGCATGAAATTTTCTAAATTAAAAGACGAGATTAAGCTCCTCGACTTAGATTTTTTGGGTATGCAAAAGTTTTCTCATTTTCTTTTTTTTCCCCGTCAGAATGAAATTCGAAGGGGCGACTGGAAAAGTCACGATTTCCCCCAAGGACTCATCGGCATCGAGAACCGGAAAGGACTTGCTACTCCGTGTTTACGCCGTAGATCCTGGTTCTTATTACGCCGTCAGTGGCACAAGATTGGCTCAAAAATCTCCCTGGATTCTCGACGGCACTGTCGCAAGTGTCGATGGTTCAACGAAACGGAATTCCACGATTCCTCAACAATCGGTCAGTCCCACCAACGCCGACACGAAGACTTTGTTGTGATCCAGTTGTTCGAAATGGTTATTATTATAATTTTTTTTTAAGAGTGAAAGGATAACTTCATTATTTAAGTTTGTTTGCCTGCCTCGATTAAAGTGCTGCCGTTGTTCGAAAAATGTTAGCTTGTGGAATACATTGCAAATTTTGCTTCACGAGGTCTGCATTCAAATTTAATTCTGCCCGAATTGAAAATCAGCAACTGGCAGCTGGTAATTTCTGCTACGATAATATTGAAACTGTTGCTTAAAAGAATTGATCACCAACAGGTAGACACATAAAATAACATTATACTGTAATACGATACAAAGAATTATCTTTTTCCAAATCTTCCATAGCCTATATTCTAATATAATTTTCAAAAGAACCACGACGTTTATGAAGTTTTCAAGATGCCAGGAGAAAATGACGACGTGAATGAAATGTCAGGAGGGCGAGAATAAAAAAGTAGAAAAAATTTATTCGTTCCTCTCAAATACTTTTTCCCAAATATTCCTTAGGGGTTTTTTTTTTAGCTCAAAGTTGCCCAGAAAAGCATTAAAAAACTTATTTCAGACTCGGAACTAATACTTCACACGTCCTGAATTCTGGCCGTGCTTAATTTTTTGTATTTGGATACAGGCATTTCTGTTGTTATTTTTAAAAAATAATGTTTCTATTTTTTCATATCGCTTCTGTTATTTCTTACTTTTTTCCAACGAAAGTTCATTCTTCTCAATTTTCTTCAAGGTCTCTGAAATTACATTTTCCCGTTATACAGTAATTTGCCTTTATCTCAATTTTCGAGGATAGCGGAGAAGTTGATTGATATAAATTTAGAAGAAATCGTTCTTCAGAATTGGATCGCTCATTCTTTTCTCTCTTTTTTCGGAAAATCTGGGAGCAATGGTAGGAATTAATTCCAGGCATCTTCCAAACAGGAAAAAGGTCAAGAATCACCAGCATCACTCACTGACTTTCCGTGTCTGGAGGAAAACCCTGTACACTCTGCCAAAATTCATCCATTCACCCGAAATTCCCAATCCTCCAGTCACGATGAGAAAGGTATCTTCAACGAAACCTTCGTTGGACAAGAAATCTCGTCTGAAAATGTCAGAACCCATTCGTCAGTGGACATCGTCGACAAGGCATCACTCGTCAACAGGATCTCTCAGGCAATTAGTGTCGGAATATGTTCCAAGTCGGAGGCCAGCCGAGTGACAGTGTCTTTCCTGGTGTCGGATCCACTGTCGTACTCGAAGTCACAAGTCAATTTCAGTCTGGACGCCGTCGACGACTCACCGAACAGCACTTTCCCGGTTTCGGTATTCGTTCCAATTGCAAATGGATACGAAATGCGGGTCACTTGCGGACGAGTGCGGTTGATCGTCGTTTGTCCCGGGATCGACTCGAAATTGAATCACAGATGTTTGCACGACGTTGAGATTTTGCCGGACACAGATTCGGGTGATGATTCGGAAATTGCGGCCAGACCGAGGTCGAAGCGAGAAGTGAGCCGGTTTCTCAGCGATAAAATATTTTTGCACGCGATGCGGAGACAAAAGGCATTGGATGACCGCCGAGGTCAATCGAAGATGATGACGAGAAGAATTTCGAGGTTTCCATCAAAGGCCAGGTCGTCCGACCGATTTCAGCGAAGAACGGATATGTACCACCAAGGATCGGTTTACGAAAGAATAGGAAAGCCACCTGGCTACATTTCCAGGTAAGAATGACTGAATTTGAGTCTTGCATTCACGAATTCTAATTTTGCTACTGCCTTTCGAACCTTTCTGATCGCCATATTGATTGATCTTCATCATTAACAAATAGACAGCATATCGAAACGTTCTGCATGGGGCAGTTGAAATCGAGATTCGAAACTAGCGCTTACATCGAAGAGCGACATCTTGAAGCAAAATGATGAAACAAACAATGGAATATTCACTCCACTTAACAAATGTCGCTCGTGCGTAGACCTAAGAAGAAGAATAGATCTACTGCAGCAACCTATAATCAAAATTTGCACGCATATAAATATCTATCTCTGTAAAAGGAAAAAAAACCGAATAAAAGTCACGAACACTCTATAGGGTTAATCTAGGTGTCGCTTGTACATTAGTGCGTAATATTTGGCTTAGTGAGCGTCATTTACAAAATTTCCTACACATCAAAATTCTCATCCATCCAACAATTTTTTCTAATTCTGCTTTTCTGTACAAAATTAATACCAGTTAGCAGTTCCTGTACAATAAATGTATCCCTGTATTTGTGCAATGATTTTCTCTTTAAAGTTAATGTCGATGAGAAGGAAAGACAAATGGGAAATTCAGTATTTAATGTGCTTATTTTAATGACCATTTCCTCCACGCTTTCATACACTTACTCAGCAAATAAAGTAGCCATGCATTAAATAGAGACGCAGAAGAATGCCTCAAGATAAAAAGTCATTCAATCAATTTTTTATAACATTTTCCCTGCAGATTGTTGGGGTATTCAGCAGCAAATATTTTGGCATGCATGGGCAAAACAGCGGGTTGCATGGTGTGCATCAGCTACCGGTCAGCAATCGACAAGAGCAGTGTCAGTTGCATCGCTGCTTGCGCTTCTATCGGCTCCACGTGCTCCATTGCAGCTGGACGCGTGATGGCCCAGTACAACGTCGACAACAGCGTCATTTGCACCGAGCTTTTTTCCCAGGTTCACCCACTTCGTTGTTTGCAAAGATTTTTCTTCTTCTCGAATTTTTCAGTTTACACTTATTCTCATCCCTCGGCGAAGGTTGAAAAGCTTTCATGTCAGACGATTTGTGCGTGAAAAGTGAGAAAAGAAAAGAGAAACCATGTAATTTCCAGAGCTGGTCATCCACGCGGTCACGATTTACTCAGAGATGAAAAATCGTGGAAGCATAAAATGACGAGCTATACCTCCGTCATTTGATTTGACAATGCGAAAAACTGTAATGATTATGCAGTATTAAATTTACTCCAAAATCTTCATGTATCTGGCAAAGAAGATATTCTAAGTAACACGTACTACGGGGAGCGGACTCCTTCTACAACGATGTTTTCTGCACACAGAAATTTTTTTCCCATAGGGTTCTTTATACACATGTTATAGTAATTCTCTTCAAAGAAAAATTTTTTACGAAGATTTTTTGTCTAGTCCCTTGTATTTCTTTGCAAATGAGAGAGTAAATCATTGTATCTGAATTGTGATTGTATAAATGGATGTACAATAAGCCAATCCATCTTATGAGGAAATGCTTATCTTACTGTAAAATGAAATGGCTCTCAGTTTTCCTGATAATTTTCTTGCTGAACACAAACTGAGCCGCAAAACCAGCTATTATAGTTCAAGTTTGGTAATTATTAATGCGAAAAAATTGCTGCAGGAAAATTAAGAACGCCGAAAAATTCACCAATTTTCCTTATACAGTATTGGTCTTGACTTTTACGCCACTCCGGTTATACACGTTTAAAAAAATGTGCCATCCCTTCCTTCAGAGGAGACAGGTTTTAGTGACATCTGCAGAAGAAAAGAGAAACGGTAGTGGTCTTAAGTTCAGTATTTTAAGTTCCGTTTGACTAGTACAGCAGTTATAGTCTGAGAGAGAGTTCACCTAAGTATGTACTGAAAAGGTGTATGAAAAGTAGATTGTAATTTCAATTGTAGATGTCGCTTTAATGGAAAAATCCTGCGCGCCTCTTCCAGAGAAAAGTACAGTACTGTACAAGTGTACAGTATCGTCACGTGACGTCACAACCAGCAAAGCTTCTTTCCAATGAGATGCAGGGAAAATTATTTTTAATACAGTACTGTACAACAGTTCTTTGTTGTTGTTGCGCGTTTTGCGTGCAGAGCTGAACAAAATCTCTGCCTTCATCTGAATGCTTCAGAAAAAAGAGCATCTCAATAAGCTAAACTAATGTACTTTTCTTTCTTTTTGTCCAGGGAAGGCTTGATGCTTCTTCTTACCTCATTGACGCCGGATTCGGAGCCAGGCTGATGGAAACAGACCCGCATGTTCTGATGGGTTACAGAGCCCTGGCATCACCAATTGTTGCCGGAATGCAGTTCTCTGACAGCTTCACCGACATCGTGGAAAATTTAGCCCAACCTTGGTTCAATTACATGAGACTTGCTGAAGGACATGCAACTAAAAACGACGCGAAGGATGGAGAAAATATCGTGGGCAGATTTTTCATCCGCTGCGGCTTGGTCCTCTGCTCAGTTGTCGGAAATTGTTGCTCAACTCTCTTGGCAATCCACAGCGCCGTATCAAAAATGATGGCTCATTTCCTTTGAGATCAACAAAAAGGGAAACTCAAATTTATTTATTTTTCTTTTGATTTGTGTGTGTGTTTATGTGAGAAATATGCTGAAGAATAGTCTTATCATTTGACATTAAGGTTTACCTCCGCGGAGATCAGAATCGCGTTCGGCCTGATGCGTTCAACTCAAAAGTATTCCAAGAATTCGAAGGTGCAATTTCCTCGCAATATCTTCCTCACCCACCGAAAGTAATTGCCATGTATGACGTTGTGTTCAAAGTATGCGTTTTGAAGTGTTCTATGATTGGAAAAGAAAATCATTCGCAAAGAAAATTATAAGTGAGGGAAAACGCTTTTTATTTCAACTGCAATCGGCTGACAAGTTGAACCGGTGTTCTGCTACAATAAATCTCGAGTCAAACTCAGGGATCACAGATTAGATTTTATTTTTTTCAGCAAGTAACGACGCAATTATTCTTAGAAAAATCTTGACAATTTGTCGATATTCCATTTTTAGGATTGAAGATCTTGGAATTTATTTTTGATACTTTTGGAATAACTTAGTGGCAGACAAGCAAAACAAACAGGTTATCAGACAACTCACATAGCGACAACTCACACAGTGACAACTCACCTAGTACAACAACTCACATAGTGACAACTCAGTGACTCACACAGTAGGACAACTCACACCGTTCTTTTTCTTTTTCCTAATTTTTCTTTTTTGTAGGTTTAGGTTCTGGTAAAAATGTATACCTTTCTTGTGTCTAGATTTTCTTAATCCTAAATTAATTGTATACATTTATAATACAATTTTTATAAAAAATTTTAATACTTGTGTTTTCAACCTAGTCAAGAATAACTTTGTCCTAAATTAATTGTGTACATTTATCAGGTTCTATATTTTCAATAATTTTGTTTTCAATCTAAACAAGGATAATTCTGATGCATGCATTAATCCATGTTCTTCCTAGAAATTGAGCCCAAGTCATGTTTATGGCATACAGCAATCCCCCCCCCCCCAATTATTAATGTAAATACTGCTTGATTGGACATTGGATTTGCAATGGTTTTGGAGGGATTCTTTAAAAAATGATCATGAAATTAAATTGAAAAATTCCTGTGAAAATTTGGAAAATTGCTGTGAGCCATGAAAATGACTGGGGCTCAATTCCTATAAGGAAGAACATGGATTAATGCATGCATCAGAATTATCCTTGACTAGATTGAAAACAAAAGTATTAAAAATATAGAAGATGATAAATGTACACAATTTATTTGGGACAAAATTATACTTGACTAGGTTGAAAACACAAGTATAAATTTTTTTATAAAATTGTATTATAAATTTATACAATTACTTTAGGATAAAAAAGAATCTAGACACAAGAAAGGTATACATTTTTGCCAAAACCTAAATTAAAAAAAAAATAATAAATCAGTAAAAAAAAAGAAGAACTGTGTGAGTTGTCGTGTAATTGAGTCTCAATTATAAAAGACAGCATTGGGAAAGATTTCCTTCTTCGCTAAGAAAGAAAAGCACCAGAAGAGTACTGTATACAGGCACAGTGATTTGTGCGACTCTTGATGCTCACATTTGGCCTCTTTCGAGAGCCAACTTCCTGGATTTTGGGCGGAAAGAAAGCTCAAATCAGCGTTCCTGGTATGCAGGAACATTTTCAATCAGTCAATTGATTCGGTCCGTGAGATATTGTGTGTTCATTCCGTCAGGTCATATGCAGTAATGTATTTACAGTACTTGGAGATTTGAAAAAATAATAACTGCAGTATTTGGACTGGAAATCGGCGCCTCGTATTTGAGCATACTGTAATTGGGTTCCTGTCCAGCTGTATCCACATTTCAATGCCAGATCATGCTGCTTCTAGGTCAGTTTATTTTCCTTCAAGAACTAATATGCTGATTCGCTCATGCCTGAGCGTCCAGAGAGGAAAAGCCAACACGCGGCAAAGGATAACTGCGTGCGACTCGTAATTTGTAAAGGGGCTTTTGGCATTGCTGAATCTTTCGCTGCGATCCATACCGGTGCATGAAACAAAAAAGAAGGCTAAGGAGTGATTTTCTCCTTCCCGCCGATGAGACGAAGATTTCATTTCCTGTGGGCTTAACCCAACAGCAGCAGCCTGCTGCAGAACTCTTTGAATCTCGCTACACTTGTGCTGCACCGAGATCCACTTGCCTACATCAAGTCAAAGACCCGGGGTTCTCATCCTCTCACCAGCAGCAAGGATAATCGTAGGCTGCGTCACGAGGCACAAAGTCCCTCATTCGATATATTCCCGAGACCATCAAATGTGGGTTCTGCCGTCGGACTTCGCAAAGCCCGCGGGCGGAAGAGAACCCCCTTTGTCCCAGGCAAGCAAGCAATGCAAAGTAATCAAGTGACGCGGAGTATGCAGACCTCGGCTGTCTTTCACCTCCAATTCCACCTCTTACCCACGCCGAACTCTTCATTGATCCCCCCCGTCATCGAATAAATTTGCAACTCATTTCATCCGATCGAGCAAGAACACACCATGCTCGTCGTGACACTATGTACAGTATACAGTACCTGAATCTCGGGATTCCTCAACTGAACAGATGCTGCCTCTGTCGTTATTCACCCTTTGGCTCGGCTTGACCTGATGACTCCCGGTTCGGTCGACCTTTGCCACACTCGCATTGTGGTCTCTGAAGCTTGCGTTAATCCTGAATCCGAATCCGAAATCTAGTTTCTTTCTTTGTCGACCGAACTTTCGTCCATACGCATGGGGCGGAAGAGAAATTATTACTGTATTCACCAAATGTGCCATCGTTCTTCAGCGGGGCATTTCGCAAGAGAAAATTTTCTCTTTCAAGAACACTTCAGCCGAATTTGCAAAAAAAAAAAGACAGAGTTATCGGTGTGTGCTCTTATGCATGCATTAACAGTTCCTTGGTTCAGCAGCAGCAAAAGAAGAAAAAAGAGATGAGGTAGATGGGAATGTGTCCGAAGCGTCAGCGCTTATCGCTGTCGGTTTTATTTTATTTTTTGTATTTCACTTATTCTCCTTTATCTACGGAACATCGCACTCCGAAATAAGATTACATTCACGCAAGTATATGATGAGGTCTCAGAAATATCAACTGAAAGAAATGGATTTTCCTGTACAGTATATTCGGAAAATGTGACTCGTCTTCACTGATGGAAGCTAAGACGACAGAAAAACCGGGCTCAGTAATCCCCTGTCGAGCGTGCTGAAATTTTCCGCGCTCTTTTCCTCCGGCTCGACAGTAACGCGGTCTGAAACCCTTCTTTTCCAAGAACTCGGCAGAATCCCGAGTGGCACGTGTTTCCGGCCTGCAACTTTCAAAGAGCGTTGTCAGCAATATTGGCCGCCCTTTATCGAACCAGGATCGTGGAATTCTTTCTTGAGATACTATCGAGCGTGTTTATACAGAGAAGAGCCGTATAAAATAAAATTAAACCCCCCCCCCCCCCCCGCACCCTCCTCTATCCCAGGTTATGATAGAAAATTAACTGCATGATTCATCGACTGCGTCGTCATGCCAGCGACGATCACTCGATTCTTTTTTGCTTCATCTGCATCTTCTGCATCAGGGCTGATGAACTTACGATGCGTAAGCACTCCGATGGCCGTCTTGTGTGTTCGCAAAATGTGCATAATCCAGACTCCAAAGCTGTGAACATTGTGTGTACAGTATTTATAACAATAAGTCAAGCGTTCAATATTTAATGCGTGCTTTCTCTAAAAGGCGAATGTGTGTAATCCCCTTCATTCAAGTTCTGTATGAACTACTGCTGGTGGTACTGTACTTCACACCCAGGAAAAAAAACCATTGTACTGTATCTGCTGACGAAGAATGAAGTGCAGGGCGCCTCCGTTAAGAAGGGATGAACTCCATTCGTGGCCGCGCTCTCGTCTACTCCTTTTCACGAGAGCCGCCGGAGCGACGTGGTACACAGCGTCACCTAGAACGATAAAAACGTTTTAAGCTGATAGTTTTCAAAACCGCACCTAGATGTCGTTACAAATTTTGCGAAACTGGCTTTGCAGCATAGTGTAGTAGAGTATTCTTACCTAGTGTTTCTCGTATCATTCTTGTTGTTGTTGATGTTTGAACACTGATTTGATTGTTTTGTTTCGTTTTCCTCTTGGACCCACCCAGCTGGATCTTCGCCCGGCGAAACTGCGTCATGCATTCTTCCTGTGCCCGGGAAGGCGTCCGTGCCCGTGTCCGGCGACGGCGGCTGCAAACGCGGAGTGTGGACGTCCGAGGCGGAGGTGTGCCACCGTCCTTGGGCCACGCGCGGGCTCCGGACTGCTCGCGACACCGTCGACCACCCGAACGCCCTGGAAATGACCACGTTCGCTTCGTCTTGAAGCCACCGATGACAACGAAAGAAGAAACTTGCACCAGTCGTCATCTCGTCAATGGGGGTCTCCCAACTGATGCAGATGGCGTTCATCATCATCGTCGATGCTGACGGGAGACTTCCGCGCGGGCCATCGCATTCGCGTGCGTGCCTTTTTTTTCTCTCCATACAACACTGATCTGATGTTGTACTCAACCCCCGCGTGTGTGGCCCTTTCTTTATTCTTGTTGTTCCTCTGTTCCTCTGCTGTTGTAACAAAAAACGAGAAACGTATCATTCGGGCCATTTCGCCCTGCTCTAATCGAGTTTTGAAGAAAGAAAAAAATGTATGCGGACGTGTATGTGATGTGATGGTGGACATTCCGATTGAGGATGAGCCGGGTTCTCCTCAGAAAATGGCACGAGGAGTCTCACGGACAATGCTATCGTGTTCCAGCCCGGCCCAGAGGCACTCGTCACGTTGTCTGACCCGGTTGATTCGGAATTCCATTCGAGACTCGGCGTCATTGCTTGTGGTGGCCAAAGGAAGCACGTACAGTAATGAGAATACAGCAAAGTACTTTACTGTGCCGTTGGTGTACCGAAAGCTCATCCTGATCATCCGAGAATGACATCCTGCACATAAAACGCGAAATCAGAATGCAATACTGTACTGTCC